GCTGCTTGGGTTGTTTGAAATTCCCTCTTTCAGATTTTCCCTCTTTCATGGAACTTCTATTTAAAAGAATGACTTCAAAAATGCCTTGCTGCACCCAATCAAAACTCTCTACAACTAAAAATGCTATAGCCTTAGATATGAAGGTAGGATGTAAACGCCTGAAGTTTGGCAAACACCAGTCTAAAACAGAACAGAACAGAAAGAATATATTTCTGACCAAGCATAAAAATTGTATTTTTCTCCTATGTATATTAATCCTGTTTCTGAAAAATTTCATATTTATGTGGTAGTAACTTAAAGACTAAATAGTACCATCTTTTTTTTTTTTTTTAACAATACCATATAGAGATCTAAGAGTCTCTACATTAGGATGAATAGAAAGGTCTACATTAATTATTACTGATAAAGCAAAGATAAAATGAAGTATATTGGTTTATTTAAAAAAAAAAAAACTGTCAGGGGCAGAAAAAATTACCAGCAGAAGTAAACTGGAAACCTGGGGAAAGTCCCTTTTTCTCTGACCACACTTTGATCACGGCAGTAGTACTTACTAATAAACTTATATGCTTAAGATAAGCCATTGGGGCTATTCAACTGGGGAGGTGATATATGAATTATCTGCCCAGCTCAACATGGGTTCTCTCCTTTTTAAGGCAAAAGCATTAAAAATGAAGGTAAAACGCATTGGTTCAGGAGTAATGATTTGTCAAATTGTTACGATAAATATTTTTCCAACATCTCTAACAAAAACAAAACTAATTTATATTAAATAATATTCAGTAAAGCTCAATTCCAGTACAACAAAATAATTTAGCTAGTCCCCTGGAGTTTGTTATAATGGGATTTAACCTGTACACTCAACATTCAATTAACCATGAGGCTTATCCTAATTGAGGATTATGCTGACTTCTGCAGTCCTTTCTCATCTATCCATCTACCACTCCAACTCAGCTTCCATAGCTACCAAAAGCAAAGCCCGAGGGAGCAGTAGATAATCCATTACTATGTGATACCCAGGCCAATATTCCCTTTGCATCGTGATGTGGATGATGAGTTAAATTCAGAATCTAGTCAGCCTATTTTCCAAAAAGTAAAGAACCCTCACCCACAGCCTCTAAGGAAATTAAACAATTTAGAAGAATACCTTCATAGGTGAACAACAGACAAGAAAAAGTCTTTCCTAGAACCTAGCAATAAAAAATATTAACAGAAAATAAAAGTAGGATAGAGATGTTCCTATTGAAAAATAGGAAAAAGGACAAACAGAAAAGACTAGTCCATTTGCTCTTAGAATATTCTTTGAAATAGGTAAAGCCCGTGTGTGCCTGTTAGGTCAGACTTCTTTCCTCTTCCTTTAGGCCACAAAGTTTACTACAGAGTTAGTCAAAATAAACCTTTATTACTGCCTCCCTGTAAATTGACCTAGGTCAGCAGAACCTACCTAACGGAGTTAATGCCGACAAAGTTGGGAACTGGCAGTATGCAGTCTAAGATTATCCAGTCTGTGGATAAATCAGCCTTCTAGACACTGCACGTCTTCATTTCTACTCCTGCTGTGTATCTTCTGGCCATTTTCCTGTTCAGTTAACAACTCTCCACCAGAAGGTAGGAAAAGGAAAAGCTATTAAATTTAAGTCAATCCTATCATTTGTTAGGGAGCTGAAAATAAGGTTAGGCTCCAGATAAACTGCATCCTTAACCCAAAATAACCTCCCAGAAACTCTGCCAGGAAACCAGTGGGCCAAACGAATTCACCTAGTAAACATTAACAAAGTGAAGAAGTAAGCCTCATTACAATAGAGCCCCTCCTCTACTTTAACTGTGAAATGTTCATTTTGTAATCCCCTCCCCCACCCCCAAAAAGCACTCATAAAATGGAAGAAAATGCCTACATTTTACTGCACCACTCAATCTTAGATCTTCCGTGAGGATCTAAGCTAACATACAGTCACCTATTTCTTTAATTTGTTGAACTATGAGGAAAAAGAAAACATACATTTCCAACACTAACTTTCTGCTCCCAGAGCTTTAACCACTCAATAATGCAAACAGGGAATATTCTACACTACAGAGTATAATAAATTCAAACCAAACTGGGACAGGTACTCTGCTTTAACCTATGAGAAACTGCAGTACCTCTTCAATCATGATTAAAGGAGTAACACTGTGTTAAATCGTGGTCACTTGGCTGTGCAGACTAACAATGGAGGCTATATTCATTCTAAATTTGAGACAAAATAAAAGTTTTCAAAAGTAGTCTACATCCTCTGGCCAGGGCTTAAAATTATATAGCCTAAAAAAAATGCAAAAGAAAAAGAAACCCTAAAGCTATTTATTTTAACACCAATTAGGGATAGGACAATAGTAGTTTGTTTTTTTATCTTACCCTATTGTCCAAACTAAAATAAGAAATTTTTAAGTTATTATTTTAAAAGACTTCTCAAAAACAAAAGTCTTCAAGTTAAAAAGAACTATTCTAGAATCATACTGCTAATGCGCAAGATTGAATTTTTTTTAATTATCTTTAATGTGTCCCTGACATAGTAAGGCATTAGTAAGTAACCATTTCGAGAACTATATTTTATTCACATGTCTCTTAGGAAAAGGGTCCAGGGTCCAACAGTACACTCACTCTTTACTGAATGAATTCTAACTTATTTGCTTAGAGGGTGGAGGGCGATTTATAGAAATAATTCTTATACAGGGGGAGAGGAATGCACAGTATACTCACTTTCAAAATATAGTGAAATTATTTAATATTATCCCTAACACCCTAAACTCTAATATCACAGAATTTTTGAATGAACTGTTAGTGTTGGTAAATTTAAAATACATTCTAAAACTTATAAAAATAGAAATCTTGTTAATTATGCTGGAGTTGTTTGGCATTTTCAAAGCCTCTGTAGTTAAGAATTATTTTATGGTAGGTACGTTTTCTGTAACTGCTCTAGAAACACTACAGCTTCCACTTAGTCCACAATCCTCACATCCAAAATGTACTTCTGTATGCCAGAAGCTGGCATATGCCTTCTTTTAATGCTGATTGGACAATTAAATCATTTCTATCAATACATAACATATCCCTATAATTTAAGATCACAGGCAATCTAGATTGCGGCTCATTTAAATGCAGAACCTGAAGCAACCTCCAGTGACAGCAGCTATAGTGTTCAATATCATTTTACATGTTAGATAGAAAGGCTTCCTCTTTCATACAAACAATGAACCCAGCAGGGTTCTTCATCATAAAGCCCCACAGATTATTTAAGGGTTTCAGTAAATAAAGCAACATAAGCAATAAGTTCAGAAGAGGTCTAATAGCTATCAACATTTTTTAAGACAATAAAAAGAAAACAGTATTCTCACCCCATTTTCCTTTTCTTCTGTTCATTTTTTATTTCCTTGCTTCTAGAATTTAATAGGGGTGTGTTTCAAGTGAAAATCTTAAAATAATTATTCCAAAGACCAAGGATACCCTGGAAACCAGTTACAGTGCCTCCTAGGAGGAGGAATTGGAGGGGTTAGAGTAGAAGAGAGACTCAATTTTCAATGTTTTTGCACCTTTCCAGGTGGTATCATATCTGGTATAACCTATTCTAAATAAACAAGCAACAATTAGAACAAGCAGTTCAGAAACTTACAGATTTCCATTTAACATTTGAGTTTATGCGCATTCACTAAAGACCTATGATATTTTTGTTTCCATTATCCTCTAAACAACCTGCTGCAACAAATACTGGAGCTTTCTTGCAGCCACGGACCAGTTAGGTGGATCCGAGGCCAGGCATTTAAATCAAGGAGATGCAGCAATCTCACTCAACATACCACTCTCACTCATCTCATTCAACTCCATTTAAAACCACTGCAGCAAGCCAGCTGGTGCTCGCCTTCCTGTTTCTTTACGGCACAGGCTTAATAACAAAAACAGGTTGGCTTTGAAGCGCTGCTCGAAAACTGCAAAAAAGGAAGTCTTTACATTCAGTAAGGGGAAAAAAGTTTCGACTTCGAGAGAATCGCATACCTTTCGTGTCATTCCATTTGAGAAACCCAAACTCCTCCGGCTAGTGAGGTTTCGAGACGATGCTCTCTCCCTTTGACAACTGCTCTTTTGGTTAACTTTTTTCACCCTTGGTGCCCTCAAACTGCCTGGGAAGCAACTAAGCCTCCCAACGACTCATGGATTGTTTTTTATAGACATGTGCAAGACAGACAGTTTATTTAAATCGTTACAGATTGAATCAATGTACGTAAGAAGATTAGAGATGGGGAAGGAAGAAAATAGTAATAATAAAGACAGCCGAGCCCGAAATGTATCCACCAACTTCCCACTTGCCATTTCCCAGCTTTCACACAAGAGGTAGCAAAATGCCTTTTTACTGAGAAAACTGCTGAGAACCTACCCATGCCCAAAATGGAAATCACGAAGACAATTGGTGTTAGAATAATAAAAATGCTCAAGTGCAGGAGATAACACAGCAACAAAATCCGACCCCATCCCGAGGACGACTCGGAGGCTGGGTGGGGGCCGCTGCGGGTCTGAGTGGCTTCCCCCGCCCCCTAATTCTTCGGAATAACTGCGAAGGAGCCACGGCAGCGGGGACAGGGGGACGCGGGCAGCTTCCAACAGCCGCCCTCAAGGACTGGAGAGGCATGAGGAAGATAAAACTTTAAGGACAGGAGGAGAAAGTGGGCCCCCGCGGGTCCCCCCAAACTCCTCGGGGTGACCTTTCCGCGTGGGGGACCCTCTTGGACCTCCCCAAGACGGCTGCCGCCCTGCTCCGACTCCCCTCCTCTGGCCGCGGGCCGTCCCCCGGCTGCGGGGAAGCGGCGCGGCTGCGACACCCCGAAACTCTCTGAGCGCGCCCCCAGCTCGGCGCGCCCCTCAGCGCCTCCGCGGAGCCCAAGCCGCCAGCTCGCGGCAGCCCCGGGGACTCGCCCTCTTCCCCCGCCTCGCACTCCACCCCCTCGCCCGCAGCCGCTCCTCCTTTATCTCCACTCACCGCCCGCCGCCATTTTCCTCGCAGATGTGCTTTAAATCGGAAACTCGCTGCTCAGCCAGCAGCCGCCACAGCCGCCACTGCCACCGACTCAGCCGCCGCGGCCGCCGCCGTCGCTGTGGACCGGCTGAGGAGGCAGCGGCAGGAGCCTCGGCGCGGGGATCGCCGGGATATGTAGTCCGGCGGCCACGCCCAGCACTACCGGTCCCAGGGGGCCTTGCGCGGGCTGGGCCGCGGGCGCCCCTGCCCCGTCGGGCTTCCGCGGCGCGAGGGCGTGGCGGCGTGGGGCTTGGGCCCGCTTTCCCTCACTGACCACCTGGGAGCTGCCGCGGGGTTGGGAGGACCAGAATGCAACCCTAGCCCTGCCCTAAATTTTTTCATATTTGCCTTCGTCCAGTACTATCTAACACTTATGGAGCGTTTATTGTGTGCAAGCACTCGTCCTCAAAACGAGCATCCTTTAGGGAGCACTATTCTCATTGTTCAGAGGAGCAAACTGAGGCACAAGGTCAGAAGCCGCGCTGTTCGTTAGACGCTAAAGTAACTGGGTGAAAGGTTGTTGGGCTATAGGCTATTCACTGTATACTCAGTCCCGAAGTATTATGACAGAGAGTCCAGGGAACACCTTGCTTTACTGTGGCGAGATCTGCAGACACCGCCTTAACCAAACGATCAGTCACCAATCACCATCATTTAGCATCACCAATAACAGATCAAACTGACATTATGTGTCTCCTCATATGATGCAATGGGGAAGGCATAACGCCACCCCTGTAGTCTTGCCAAAAAAAAAAAAAAAAGCGAAATTGAACCTATGAAAAAACAATCAGACATAAAGAATGTGAGACATGCTACAAAACACCGAGCTTGGACTCTAAAAAATACCAAATCATGAAAGAGGTGAAAACCAAATGCAATATGCGAGCCTTGATTGGATCCAAGTTTTGTTTTCTTTATGTAAAAGACTTGGGGGTAAATTTTAATATGGGCCATTTATTAGATAATAATATTGAATCGGTATTGTCTCGAGTGTGAATAGAATGATGTAAATAAACACTTACTAGCTCCACCACCATCATTTTCCACCTGAACTATTGCAGCAGCTTCACCACTGCCCCCTGCTTCCATTCCACCCTCTTCCTCCTGGAGTCTGTTCTCAGTAGAGCAGCCAGAAGGATCCTGGTAAAAACCAAGTCGCATAATGTCTGTCCTCCAAAATCTTTGCAGTTACCTGCAAAGCCCCATACAGCCTGTCTCTCCCCTCCCTTTCCTTTCCAAGCTCATCACCTACTTCTCAGCCACTCGCTGCTGTATTCCAGGTACACTGGACTCTTTGGGGTCCCTCCAACATGCCTAGCACACTTTGTTTGGCCTCAGAGACCTTGCACTTGCTATATCTTCTGCCTGGTTCATATTTTTTTTTTTTTTTCGAGAAAATCCAAATCTCTAACTTCCTCATCTCCCCCATGGTCATTGTCAAAATGTAACGTCTTCAGTGAGACCTTCCCTAATTTCTCTATTTTAAGTTCCCACCCACTCCAATCCCAGCATTCCTTACCCCCTTTTCTGTCTCATTTTGCCTCATAGCACTTTTTATCATTGGAAACATTTCATATTTTTGTTTACTTATGGTATTTATTATCTCCTTTTCTCACTAGAATTACAGCTCCGTGAAAGTGGACTTTTGTCTCTTTTGTTCTCTGATGTAGGCTCAGCACCCACTACAGAGCTTAGCAATAGTATTCACTCACTCGATATTTGCTCCATGGATAAATTCACCCCCTCATCAAACAACAGATAATAAATATTATATTAGATACTGAGAATCCAGACATAAAATACTAAGACCCTGTATGACCTTTCACCTAAACACCTACAGGTGTTCCTCAGCTGCTCTCCCTGCTTCTCCCATTAGTCTTCCTGTAAGCCCCTCCCCACACAGTAGCCAGAAGGATTGTTGAAAAATCATATATTAAATTATGTCACTTCTAACCTGAACATGTTCCAATGGCATCCCATTGAATTTGAGATAAAATCCAGACTCTTAACTGATCTGGTCTCTGCTTCCTTGTCTGATCTCAAGTAATAGATCGCTTCTCATATCTTAGCCCATGCCAGACACGAACATTCCTGATGTTTCCTGAACATACCAAGCATGTTCCTGCCTCAAGGCCTTTCACTTGTTCCCTTTGCTGTTGGAAATTTTCTTTCTTCCTGCCTTTCTCTCTATTGTCATTCAGATCTCTGCTGAAATATCTCCTCTTCAGGCAGATCTTCTAAACACTACACACACACACACACACACACAGAGTCACATCACCCTGATTTATTTTGTTCAGAATGATGACAGTATCTGATTTTTTTTTAATTGTCCATCTCTCTCTCTAGACTATAAGCTCCAAGAAGGCAGGGAATTTGTCTGTTTAGTTCACTGCAATGTGTCTAGCACCTGTTTTGTGTCTGGCCTATAGTAGGCACTTAATAAATATTTGTAGAAGAAAAGAAAGAAGGAAAGGAAAAAAGAGGAGAAAAAAGAAGGAATGCAATATATTATATTAATATTAATTTATACATATGTTCACAGAAAGTATAACTGATATTAACAATAAAAATATATATATATGTACATGTTGTTTGAGACTCAAGGACAGATCTTTAACCCAAGGGGTGCCAGAGAAGGCTTCCAGGAAGAAGCAACTTCTGTGCCAACTTTGGCAGTATTTTGATGGACATGATCCCAGACTGAGTGACATCTGGGAAACACTAGTCTAAGCTTACCATCTAAGCCAAATAAGTGACACGCCCTAGTAGATAGTCTGTGAAGATGCCTGCCATCATACTTCTCTGTTTGCATGAACCACTCCTCCATCAAGAGGTAAACTTTATTTCTTCTTCCTTGAATTGGGGTTGCTCTGTGACCGTTTGACCAATGGAAGTGGTAGAAGTTATATGGTGGGACTTTCAAGCCATGCCTTAAGATGATTGGCAGCTTCCACTTCCTTCCTGTTGGAACCCAGCTACCATGCTATGAGAAGCCCAAGCCCAATGGAGAGGCCACATGGGATGGGAAATTTGAGGCAGTCCAGTCGACAGCCCTATAAGCTAAGACACCAGGCAAGAACCAGTAGTAACTGCCAGCCACATGAATCAACCTTTTTTTTTTTTTAATGAATCAACCTTCTTGCACATTCCAGCCCTTATCAATAAGGTCTGAAACAAAAGAGCCACCCAGTGGGCCCAATCAACCTATAATATCATGAGAGATAATAAAATGGTTGTTCTTGAAGCCACTAAATTTTTCACTGGTTTGCTATACAGCAATTGAAACGCTCTACAGAAGTGTGGACTTTTGTTACACTGTGGTTGAGAACTTTCAATAGATAGGAAGAGCAGTCTCAACTTTTGAAATGAGCCCAATAAAATTGGCTTGACCCAGGAGACACAGAAGCAGAAACTCTGTGAAGATGGGATTAGAAGGTCATCTAGCTAAAGCCCTCCAAAGATGAACAGATTCTGCCTACATTTCTGATTGCATGAAGCCTCTGCTTCCATGTTCCCAGATGGGTGCTCGCTTTCCCAAGGGCAGCTATGCCAGTCGGGGTTCTTGGGTTGTAAGCAAGAGACTCTGTAAAGTAATAGAATGATATGTAGCCACTCACAGAATCTTGGCCTGGAGGACCAGGCCAAGAAATGTCAGAAACCAGGGGAAAAGAAGATCCTGAATGTCTTATTGTCTTATCTGGGGCCAGCAGTAAATCTAGAGATCAATCATTGTATTCTATCTTCTCATCACCTTATCCAACATTCAAATTCAAAAGAGGAATTTGTCCAATTGGTCTAGTTTGGGTCACATGTTGTGTATGCAAGTAACAGGCTACCAGACCTGTAATAATGCTAACCAGCCTGCCTGCAATTTACCCTCAAATATTCCAGGTGGGAAAAAAAATACACACAGGTAGATGTGAACAAATGTGGAAAAATTTAAGCACTTAGTACATCTAGGTTCAGGGCACACAGGTATTTGTTGTATTATTATTGCAAGTTTTCTGCAGACTTGAACATTTCCGAAATAAAAACTTTGGAGAAAAAAATTATGGCAGAAAAAAGATAGTACTCAACAGCATTTATAGAATCTTTATACTTACAGGGCACTATTCAAAGTCCTTTACATATATTGGTTCATTTAACCCTCACAATAACCCTAAGCATTGGGTCTTTTATTATCTCCCTTCGACAGATGAGTAAATAGAGGCAATGAACACATAACTTGCCCAAGGGTATAAGCTACTAAGTGCTGGAGTCAGGATATAAACCAGGCTCACAAGCTCATGTTTTTAACTAAGATGCTCTACTGCCTCTCCACAGACACATAAACAAGACATTTAGCTATTGCACATAACAGGTCTAAAGGGAGACAGCGTGTTCATCAAGGACCAGATTGTTACAATCCTTCTGCTCCACCATCTTCAGCATATTGTTTTCTGTCCTCAGTTTATAGCCTCATGGACACAAGATGGCTGCCACAGCTGAAGCATCACATCGACTCACAAACAAATCTAAGTACAGGAAGCAAAAGAGTGAAGGAGGTGTCGAGAGAGATATTGTATCTCTCCTCTTTTTTTTTTCAGATATAAAACTCCTTCTCCAAATTTCCCCTTTCCCCTTTCTGTCTCCAACCCACAAAGCAAATGTTCCCTTACTTTTCATTACAGTGAAGATATGGGTTACATGGTCGTCCTAGCTGCAAGGGAATCTGGGAACGCAAGCATTTACTAGTTCGGCCGTGGGCTTTAAGTGAGTGGGCGAGTGAATGCTTCTCAGTTGTCTGGTCCAGTCCAGAGGCTCTGCTTCTGCCCCTGCCCTTCCACAGTCTCCTGCATTCTCCCGTCTTTTATTGTGTATATGAGCTTGGCACTCACCACCTGCCTTGCTGGGCTGGTTTTACTACTTATAAATTTGTGTGGTAATAGCTGGTTACTTGAACTTTCTGTGCCTCCATTTCCTAAAATGGAAACCACAATAATATGTATTTCATAGGGCTATTATGAGGATTAAATAAAACAATACAGTGAAAGCCCTAAGAACAGTGTCAAGCACAAAATACACCTTCAATAAACATTAATAATGATTATGAATGGCAGTTCCAAATTTTG